GGGACAGGGGCACCCAGTTTCTATGGTGACAGTCTGAGGAGCAGGAATTTGACTTGGAAGGAAGGTTGGGGAACATGAAGTTATTTCCATGGAGATGGGGAGGGTCTCTGAGGCTCACTTAAAGGTGGGAGTAGGGTAATTGGAAAAGTGAAGCCACTTATCACCATGGCAACAGATGGGAAGGGGTGGAGTCACCCAGGGAGCAACAGCGATAAAGCTTTCTATCTCCGATGCTAGAGAGCTGCTTGGAGTTCTCTTGGACCACATAAATTCCCCAGTGCGGCCCCACGCTTGAGGAAAAACCAGCATACAATCTGTAGACTCTTAGAACTGGTGTGGGAGCGCTTGGGATGTTTTTTTTTAAACCCTTTATAAATTGCTGTACAAACAGGTGTTCAGTCGCCCCTGCTTGCCTTTGTGGTCCTTGAGAGCAGAGATTTCGTCTGTCCTCTTCACCTCAGGCCTAAAACAGTGTTTTGAACCAAGCAGGCAGTCAATACATGTATGGCAAATTAATTAATCACCTACTTCTTGCTGCTTCCCACTGTTAAGTTCCAATAATATTGAAACGCTCCAAGTGTCCTGCATATGCTATCATCGTTCACCCGACAGTCTGGGCATTGTCTGTGAGAGGCTTCTCATGACCCCCTGGCTCAGGGTTTCTGGGGGTTTTCCATTCTAAATTATGGCTAACAGCATTTACCACTTAACATCCAGATTGCTTGTTTCTCTCTGTCCCTCACCTCACTGTTACAGCCTCAGGAGACCACACACATTTCTATCCCAGCAGCTGTCACAGTACTTGGCACTTAAAAGGTCCTCAAATAAACATGTAATTGAACTAAGTGCCTCCCTATTGCTGACAGCAAGTACATCAAGCCTGTGCTCCCAGGCTGACCACACAGCCTTCCTAATAAGGGGCAGCCTGCCAATGAAACCTTACTTCCTTTTGCTTTCTACATAACCTGGTATGTGTTCGTTTCCTCCTTTGACCTTCACTAGGTCTGCAATTCCCCACTTCTGTATTGGAGTGGAGTGGTTAAGAGAATGGGCTCTGGAATCAGATCAGGATTGACTTCAATTCCAGCTGAAGGAACACTGTTGGGCCAGTTACTTTAACATTTCTAAACTACCATTTCCTCACCCATAGAACAGGAATATAACAGCACCTATTTCTTATGGCACTTGTGAGGACTAACTGAAAAAATGCACGTGAAGTACTTAAGCAAAATCACCTGACAGGAAGTGAGCGATCACAGAAGATGAAGTGGCCTTATTATTATTATTACTATGCAAAATCTTTCACTGGACGTTGAGTCCCTACATAACAGGTGCCAGGTGCTGAGCTGGGGTAAACAAAGATGAAGATGACACTTGCTGGCCTCAAGGAGCTCCAGGTCTAGTGAGAGACAGGTGTCGATAAGATAACCATAGTGCAGTAGCATTGCTAAGAGGAGGGAATCTCACCTGCAGAGGAAAGATCAAGAAATGCTTCCAGAGAAAGTAATCTTTGAGCTACTCTAAGAACTTTGCTAGGCAGAGAACAGAGAGAAGGACATTCTGGATAGAAGGCACAACTCTTGTAAATGCTTGACGGCCCTTGGAGAACTAGGAGAGTTCCCTAGAGGTGTAGCTTAAGAGACATGAAGGGACAAAATGAAAAAGGTTGACAACAGGCAGAGCAGAAAGGATCTTGTAAGTCACGTGAGGGGGTTTGACCTTTACAAAATGCCCCTTAGGGTCAAGTTTATTCCCACCATTCTTCTACACTTTGAACACATTTTCGTTACAGCATTTATCAAATTACTATTTGGTTATTTGTTTACTTGTCTCTTCCACTGAACTCTAAATCCCTTAATGGCTCAGAGGCTCTGTGTTGTTTCTTCGAATTTTCTGTGCTCTGTTGTGTTCAGGTGGCACACAACAAATGTAGAGAGAGAGAAGGAAGGAACTTCTCCAAGGTAGTACAGCTACTCAGTAGCAGAGGTAGGACCCAAATCCAGGTCTTGGGGGTGGGTGGTATTTTTGAGTGTCAGATCACATTCCTGAGTTGGATATGGAAGTAGGAATTGAAATATTTCATTGAATGCGATCTTCACTGTATTGGAGTCTTCTTTTCATGAACCTCTTGCTGCTAGTTAGGGAAGTTCAAATCTCAAACATACTTTGCAAAGAGACTTTGAACATCAGGCAGTAATAAGTACTTTCTGGTAAGTTACAGCCTGTTCTTGGCATTACACTGCATGTGATTTCATCTAGCACCATTGCTGGCTTTACTGGCACAAATAGCAGACTATCCACTTAAGACCAAACACCAGCGGACCCTCTGAAGCAGGCCAAAGGAGGCCTAAACTGCCAAACACATCAATTCAGACAGGCAGGAAAGGTCTACTTTCTAACATTTCTCTCATGAATCACACAATTTGTTAGCCAAGATAGCAAATCTGTGCTAAGATCCAACATGACAAATGGATATCCATCATTCCTACAAAGGAGTCACATTGGAAAATACTTGAAAGGTCATCTCATTTCTATAGTAATCCATAAATTACTTAAAACACTATTCTCCCAGACTGTCGTTTCTCTCCATTCCAATGCAGTCTGTGTACTGTTGCCCAGTTACTCTTAGCTGTGTGACCTCAAGCAGGTCACCTAACTTCTCAGGGCTTCTGTTTCATCATATGCAAAGTGATGCCTCAGGTTCCTGAAGGTGCCTGGGGTGCCACTATACAGGTTGGGGAAAGATGGGACAGAGGCTGAGTTGGCAGGCCTGTATACGCTCTTCAAACACATCAGTCCTTTTGGAAATTATAAAACTTGCTTCGGGAAGAGTTATGCCGCTACAAAGAGTTTAAGTGCCATTAACTTTTATGATCTCTAAGGGCTTTCTACTTTCCCTAAACTAGGATTTTAGAAACAATCTCTCATATACAACAGGAATTTAATGTGATTAGGTGTTCTCTGCACAGAAACACAACTAACTCATTTTCATTATTCCTTTGTCTAACTTTTTAATCTTAGCATCAATTCAAAATAAGATGAAATGCAATGCTTAAAATGACAGCTCTAATATATAATAGACATTCTGAAAGTAATTAGCAACTCCTACAAAGACTGTCATTTTGAAAGCCATAGAAAATGGCTTACAAAGTCAGGACCAAATTCAAGTTCTGCATATTTTTTTTACAACAGTAAAGATATGTCTTGATCTAAGCAAATGCAAAGGAACAAATTATCTTTTAATCTCCTTGGAAATACTCTTTGTCCTTTGTGTTCCTGACCAAGGCTTACCTTGAAAGTTCAGTTTACTAGAGTGACCAAACAAGTAATTCACCTGAGGCTCACTTGTGCCTCAAGTTGTAAAGCAGGGGTTTTCGGGGTGGGAGTAGGGAGAGGGGGGTAATGGGTATTAGTATCACCTAAGCAGCCTTTTCTGCCTCCACTTAGGCCCCCTCTCCTCTCCTCTTGCAAAGCACTATTCCAGCTCGGACTTCACTCTGTCCCACATGAAAGGCTTTCTCTCCTTTGCTAAATTCTACCCAAATGAAGGTTGGTAGACTGAGTAAAAGCAACTGAACTCAGAAGATACTAGCTTTGTCACAAAGTGGTTGGGCAAGTCACTTATTTTTGGTCTCAATTTTTTCCCGATATTTTGAGGCTCCCTTCCAGCTTTGAAATTCTGTGACTGCATGTCATGTCTAAGAAGCCTTCTGAACTACTCCAAGCATGTAATGACTTGTCATTTCTTGGGTTTTCTAACAGCTGGTACAATACAACACTGTCCTATATTGCCCTCTAGTTGCTTTTGTATGAATTTTTTCTCTTCTCAACCATATTTAATTGAAAAGTTTTTTTCAAGGGGCTGTCAGTGTAGCCTTCTACTTAACTTAAATCTCTGAGCACAACTCAGGGAGTGTCAGAAATAATCGGTATGTATTTACATTTGCTTAAAGCAATGACGTCCTTTCTTTCAAAGTCCTGGAATTGTATTCTCCATCAGTGTTGTCCAGTAGTAATATGTGAGCCACAAATGTAACTTTAAATTTTCCAGTGGACACATATTTTCAAAAATGTAGAAACAAGTGAAATTAAGAATATATTTAACCAGCGGAAGGTGGGGGGGGAGGGTAGGGGGATAGTTCCCAAGACCCTATCTCGAAAAAAGAAAACAATCACAAAAAAAGGCTGGTGGAATGGCTCAAGTGGTAGAGTCCTTGCCTAGCAAGCATGAAGCCCTAACTTCAAACTGCCAAAAACAGAATACATTTAGCCCAATATATCAAAAATACTCTCATTCCAATATGTACTCAAATAAAGTATTGAGATATTTTACATTTTTGTAATGTCTTCAACATCTGATGTGTAGTTTACAATTGCAGCACATCTGAATTTAAAATAGCCACATTCAAGTGCTTGGTGGCCACCTATTAAACAGCGCAGTTCTGCAGGATTGGGATGCTTTCCAAACGGATCACTTTTTTTTCTATTCATGTGATGTAGCTTCAAAGTACTCAGGCTAGGCCAGAGGGATGCAAAGAGGAATCAGATTCACTGTGGTAGGTAGATAGATTTGTGAATCACTATTATACAGTGCGGTGGGTGCCATGACAGTAATGCACAGAAGAACCCCCGACTTGGCCAGCGGTGGGGCGCAAGGGTCAGGGAGGGGGAAGTGTCAAGGAAGGTTGCAGAGGATGTAACATTTCACCTGGGAACTAGGTGGCACGAAAGGAAGCCGGCTGTGGGGAGATCAGAGTTGCAAGTTACCAAATCATCTGGATCAGAGAAGAGAGACCCTACAGGGTGCCGGCCCAAAGGGCGCAGGGGTGTGTGGGGGAGGACATGGTGACGTGAAGGGGAACAGTGCAGGCGAGGATTGGTTGGGAGGAAACGGAGCTCCATCTGGTAGGTGACGGAAGCCGGAGGGGGGCGCCACTGCCACTTCACCTGCGAGCAGCCAGACCTGCGAACCTGGAGAGCTACGTGGCACCTGGAGCTCCTGGCGACCCTGACTCTACTCAGGGAACGTCCGTCGAGGTAAGGCGCGCGTCCCGGTTCCTGAAGCGCGTTCGCGTTCCCCGTCGCACGCGCTAGCTCACTGATCAGCCGCGCCTCCCCTGGGTCTCAAAGCCATCGGAACTTCCCAGGGTCCGCCGTGGGGTTGGGGGATCGTAAACAGCACCTAGGGTTTTGCTTGTGTGTGTGTGTGTGTGTTTTTAACAGGTGCCTTCGACTTATCATGGGCTGCCTGGTAAAATGAGTCCATGGAAACGGTTGCCAGGGCCGGCAAATTGCTGTTTCCCGAAGTCCTTTTTAACGCCTTGGTAACAGGCAGCCAGCCAATGTGGTACCGCTTCCGGTGTCGTTTGCAATCGCGGGATTCTTCTTTTACCATGTTTGCCTTTGACCCCGGAAGTGAGGTCTTCCGGGTTCCTCCCTCCCAAGATGGCAGCATCTGAGGACGAGTTACTGTTGCCGCGGCTCCCGGAGCTGTTCGAAAGCAGCAAGCGACTTCTGGACGAAGTGGAAGGAGCGACTGAGCCCTCCGGTTCTCGGATAATTCAGGATAAGGTGCTCAAAGGACTGGACCTCCTTGAGAAGGCTGCTGAAATGTTATCGCAACTTGATTTATTCAGGTATGGGGAGAGGTTAATGACGGCGGTGAACCAATGTGATAATGGTTAGTGGTGGGGCCGTTGCGCATGGGTGGAAAGGAACTTTAGGACTAAGACCCTTTGGTTCCTACTTCTCACTGCGATCGTGTATACATTGTTTTCGTAGTCCTCCTCCCGACATGGTTCCTATCCCAACACTGCTCCCTAGTGTTGGTTGGGTGCATAGGCATTGGGTGTGAGCGCCTAGCCACTGTCATTGAAACTAGCTGCTAGCTTTTGCACAACTCCCTCCCTGGCAGCCCTCTCTTCCCCAGGAAGCAAAGGCCATAGTTGGAGTGCTCAGCCAGGCTTCACAGCCTCCTCTTTGCTCTTTCCAGCCGAAACGAAGATTTGGAAGAGATTGCTTCCACCGACCTGAAGTATCTGATGGTGTCCGCGTTTCAAGGAGTCCTCACCATGAAACAAGTCAACCCCAGCAAGCGGCTAGATCATTTGTTGCTGGCTCGAGAACACTTTATAAACTACTTAACTCAGTGCCATTGCTATCATGTGGCAGAGTTTCAGCTGCCCAAAACCAAGAACAACTCAGCAGAAAATCACATTGCCAATTCCTCGATGGCCTATCCTAACCTCGTTGCTATGGCATCTCAAAGACAGGCTAAAATAGAGAGGTGGGTCAATAGCTGTGATTTGAAGGCTGCAGTGCTGTTGGAGGGGGGTGCATGTGTTTTGTGTGTGTGTATAGGACAGAATGGTGTATGTCACTCTCTTGGTTCTTATGGAGCATAGGCCCTGTTTAGAGCAAACTTTGCTGAGCTTTTGAAGAAGCCTCTGCCTTTGTTGAGATCATACCTAACTAACCTTCAGATGCACTACTACCTTAGGGTTGCCACCAGCAGCAATGTAGTTTAACAAAGTGTCTTGTCTCTCAGCCTTTTCCATCTCACAACTTAATGGTATTCATATTGGGTAAATATCTTTAAAGGGCAGAAAATCTCAGCACTGTGGTACATTTATGTTCTGTTTATTGAGCAGTTCTCTTCTAACAGAGCAGTGGATCCGATGTTTAACATCCTAAATGGGTGACAGTTGTGGCACTACTTCACCATGTATGTAACCTTGAAAAAGTTGCTTACTCTTAGTTTTAAAAAAGCACTCAATGGGTGTCTAGGAACTATGCTAGGCTAGACCCTGGGAATACAAACTATATGGGTGCTTATGTAAGTATAAATGGATCTAGCTTTGGAGGAACATATGCCTTGGTGAGGAAAATGAGCATAGTAGCTGAATATCAATATAAAGCCATAGCATAGAGAGATGTACAAGGTCCCATGAGAGCAAACCAGAGGGAGCAAGAGAGAGAAGAAGGCTCCCTGGAAGTCCTGTACTGAGTTGTTGAAGGATGAGTAGGACTGTTACCCAGAGGAACAAGAGAGTTGGGCATTAGCCAACAGAGGTAATAGCATTAATAAAACCCAGGGTTTTTTGTTTTGTTTTTTTTTAAAAAAACATTGCTGCTGTGGGGATGTTTGGGAGGGGAACAGCATCCATAAGCCATTAAGTGATACTAGAACACAATGGGGGTGGTGAAGAGGGGAAGGAATGATGCTGAAGAATGTTGTAGGGTCCAGATCAAGGCAAGCTTGGGATACGAGAAAGGTCGCTGAGAAGTTGGGAACGTGTTTGAATCCCAGATCTGTCATTTCCTTACTCTGTGATTTAGGGCAAGTTACTTAACTTCCCCAGCTGTAAAATTGAGATAATAGTAGGTCCTTCCTCATGGAGTAGTTTATGAGGATTAAAAGAGAAATACATATAAAGTACTTAGCACAGTGTCTGACAGTAAGCACTAAGAGTCAGCTGTAGTTACATATTTGTGCTAAGAGTATGGATTGCAAAGTCATAGACCTGAGTTTGGGTCCCAGCTTTATTCATAAGCCCCTGAACTTTTGATAAGTTATTTAACCTGTCTGAGCCTCAGGTTTCCTCCTATGTGAAATTAAGTGGTACCTAGCATACTATCTGACTCATAGTATTTTATAAACATTTTAGGTAGGCTGTGCCAAAGAGCATAATTTGGTTGATGATCACTGGGATCTACTAGAGAATTTTATTTCTCTTCGAAGAGTAGCATGGCCATATTTGCATTTTAACTAATGCAGTAGACCCACTTGGGTCACAGAAGTGGTCACATTAGGGCAATAGCAGAGGGATAGAGGGGGTAATATATGTTTATGAGAGTTGAATCCATGGAAAATCTGGTGACCAATTGGTGGGATAGAAGAAGCAGCAAATATTTCTGTGTTTCTGATTCAGGTGTATGGTTGTAGAATTCATTGAAATGGGGAATGGAGGAAGAAAAGCAGATCAGTAAATAGGGGGGAGTGCAAATTTAGTATTGAGACACGTTGAGTGTAGGGTACCTAAAAGACATACAGTGTCTGGTAGCATGAAGCTCAGAGGCGAGGATTGGCCTACAGACCTGAAAATTGGTTGATTTATTCAATAAATATACATTGAGCCCTACTTGTGCCAGAAACTGTTCTAGATGTTAGAAAACTAACCATAGTTAATGCCATCTTGAAACTTTTATTCTGGTGAAGACAGACAAACTAGTAAATAATGATGTAAGTTCAGGTGATAAGGGCTTTAAGAACACTAAAGTATGGTTGGGAATAGTGAGTGACAGTGAGTGAGTTTTGAGGATATGGTATAGACTAGTACAGAGCAGAATTCAGTATCCTATCTTTTCTAAGAGATTGGAGCCAGTCTTTTGCCATAAAAACAGGCAATTTAAATAGAGAATCTTATATACAAATAATTATAATAAGAAAAGACTGTAAATCCATAGCAATACAGTGTTGTGGAGAAAGATGAGGGAGTGCTACATCTGGTTGGAGGAATGACAAAAATGTTTCAGACTGTAATGGCATGTAAGATAAATCTTAAAGAATGGTAACAGTGAAATTACAGATTTTCCTGAATGTAAAAGTAATAATTCTCATTGTAGAAAGTTTGCAAAACAAGAATAATTTAAAAATCAAAAATAAGCTTTAATTGTAGTACTCATAGATGTCATTGTTAACTTTCTAATATATTTTCTTTCAGATACATAGTTATTTTAGCTAATAAATTTGGAATAATTCTGTAAATATAGCTTCTTATTCTGTTTTTTTTCTAACTTAATATTGTAAGCATTTCCTCGTGTCTTTTGAAACCATATTTAATGGTTTGTAATATTCCATCCTATAGTTGTACCATAATCATTTAAACTAATCTGTTATTCTCAAGTATTTAGACTTTTTTTGTGATTCTCAGTAATGCTATGAACAAACATCTTTAACTGCTTTTGTCACTGTTTCCTTGGGATAGATTTCTAGAAGGACCAGTGACTGGGTCAAAGTGTTTGACTATTTTAAGGCTCTTGATGCCTGGTAATAATGTAGCATTCCACATTAACAAAGTCTCAGAGTATATCCCATTGCATTAGTCCTGCATAGTAACACGTAGAAGATTCAACTGAAAAAAAAAAAAACAGAAATAGGTATCTCATTGTTTTGGTTTGCATTTCTTTGGCTTGCAAGCTTGATCTTTGAACATTTTTAAGTGTTTGACAGATGCAATATCAACACTATGTTTATGCCAGTGGCTTGCACATTCATATCACTAGCCCAGTCCCCCCGACCTTCAGATCTATATGTCCAGCATCTTTTGTGGGTGTTTCACAGACATTTCAAACTTGGTGTGCCTTAACATTGAATCCTTGGCTTTTATTTTTTGGCGCAGTGCTAGGGATTGAACCCAGACTCTGCACAGACCTAGGCAAGTGCTCTACCACTGAGCTACACCCCCCAGCCCAAACCCTTGGCTATTAACCCCCATATGTTATCCCCGTGCCCAAGTCTTCACCAGCTCAGTAAGTACACTGCCATTCACTGGGATATGTAAGCAAGAATCCTAGGAGTCAGCTTTAACTCCTCTTTTCCTGAATTTCCCCATCTAGTCCATCAGGAAGGCTGTCAATATAGTTGTAAAGATATCTTCTATCCTATTGCTTTCTGTCTCCACTAGCATACCTCAGTCAAGGCCACCAGTACCTCTCACCTGAGATCACCAAACTACTGACTATAAGGAAAGGTTATCTGCATGATCTGGTGCCTGTCTCTTCAATTTCATGTCATTCTCCCCTTGTTCATTAGACTCCAGCCATAGTGGCCATCTTTTAGTTCCTTGAACCCACTCAGCTCCTTCTTTCTGTAGAATCTTTGTATGTCCTGTTTCCTTTGCATGGAATGTGCTTCATATGGCTAATTCTTTATCTTTTAGGTCACAGTTTAAATGTCACTCTTTTCCAGACCAGTCTAAGAAGTTACCATCTGTTATTCTCTCTCTTTGCCCCTTTTGTTTCCTTCATGGCATGTATCTCACGTGCAGTTACTTCATGTGTCTGTCTTTGTGGGTTCTCTCTCCCCCCACCCCACTAAAATGTATGTGCCATGAGGGCAGAAGCCATTTCTCTTTCGTTCACCATGGTGTTCTTAGCACAGGACCTGGCATGTAGAAGGTACTCAAGCAACATTTATAGTTAACAAATGGGTGAGACAACATGAGCAAAAGCCCAAAGACAGGTAGGTTGAGGTATGTACAGGGATTAGATAACAGTCTGGTTTGGCAGAAGCTAGGAGTAGTATGGGTGGAGGTCTATATAAGAAAGTGTTGTGTATAGAAATTGAAAGGGAAGAGAGACAAGCAGAAAGACAGGTTAACAGTATCCAACAAGGATGAAATGTTAAAAATGAAGCTAGAGTATCAGATAACTACTTTTGCAAGAAGCATTTATATGATTAGAAAACAAATTATTTAGGTCTGGATGATGTAATTCAGTGATAGAGCACTTGGCATGAGGTCCTGGGTTTAATCCCTAGCACTATAAACAAACAAGAAACCAAAATTTTGCTGGTGGGATGGCTCAAGTGATAGAGCACCTGCTTAGCAAGCGTGAGGCCCTGAGTTCAAACCCCAGTACCACCAAAAAAAAAATTATTCATGTCCTTATTTACTTTCTGTAAGTCCTTTCTGCTGTGGCTTTAGATACTGAAACCACCCTAAATAAAATACCTAAGAGATATGTCTTTTCTCTCTAAAACCTGTTTCTTCCTGTATGTTCTCTGATTCCCATCTTTGAGGAGTGAGTATGGGTTTGATTGATTAACAGCACCTCCATTCTTTTGACAGAAATGAAGAAGTGGAAGCTGAGTAAGGAATGAGTCTAGCTTGGGATTTACTGCATTTCAGCCCTAAAGTGACAGCTGGATAGCCATTTCCACAAAAAATTGGAACTGTGCAACTAAAACTTAAACTAGCATTTCATAGCTGGTGCAAAAATTTAGTAGCCTTCTGCCTTGGTGAATATGGATGAGTTTGCCCAGGAAAAAAAACATGGAGAAAGGAAAACTATGGGTTAAACCTTAGGGCAAATCAAGGGAGAACGAAGAGGAAGGAAAGAACAGTCAGAGGAAAGAGAAGGATTTGCATAAGCCTGGGGAAGAAAGAGCATGTTCTGTACTCTGAAGCCTTTCTCTGCCTATGCCCCTGATACTGTAGCACTTAGTTCCTATTACTTAGCACAACCTGCTAGTCTCTAGATTTGAAATTCTTCAGGTCAGAGACCTTGACCAATGGTACTTAATATTCTAATGGTGTCATCTGTCATATCTCTTGGCACCCAACCTAGTAATTGGATCATAGTAAGAACTTGGCAGTATCTTTGGGAGACAGGGCAGTAATCAGAAAGATGGAAGCAGTATAGTGTAGTAGAGAAAATTTCTTTGGAATCAGACCTGGGTGACAAGTTTCTACCACTTAACACGTGGAGCATCACATCATTTAGCCCCTCCTAGCCCCATGGTTTTCTCATCAGATACCAGAATTCGTATTGCTGCTTATAAAGCATTTTTCACGGATCTTTTTCTATTTGATCCTCTAACAGCCCCCATTATAAAGATATGGAAATGGGCTCTGAGAGTTGATTTCCCCAAAATTACATAGCTAGTAGATGATCAGGCTAGGATTTAAACGCAGGTTCTCAGTTTCCCAGTTCTAGTGCTGTTCCCTCTATAACATAGAAAAATGTGGTCTTTAGAAAATGAGGTGAGGGAAGACACTTCTAAGATAGGGGAAAGGCAGCAGTAGAGTGAAAATTTATAGCTGCTAATAACAAATGACAGCTCCTTAAAGATGAGTGAAGGAGGAAGGGAGAAGCTGCAGAGATTTAAAGGTAGAGAGGGAAATTAAATGCCACATTGGCTGGCCATCTGGCAAGAATGATGCTGGCATGGAGTCTCCACAAAAGATGCCCAAAAGATAGCCAAGTTTGATAATAGGCATTTTTAGTTGACCCATTTGACACAAATTTGTAATTCCCTAGCTCTCTTCAGCTGCTTGGAAACAGAACAAGGGAATGCCCTTCTTATAATGGTCAGAGGTGTGCGATTCTAGGTTGATAAAGAAGTGTTTCCATGTAGTGGTACACCATGGAGGAATTTAGAACAGTGATGAAGTCTGGGACAGTGGTTTTCAGTCTGTTCCTTGGAGCCCTAAGATTTTACCAGTGTCTGAGTAATGGTGAGAGCCCTCATCTGGTTTTACCAAGGCACATTTTATCTGTTTATTACTTATTATGGTCCCTCATAAACTCTGGTTTGAAGACAGGGTTCTTTTGCCAAGGCAAGAGGTTTATTAAAATACACTGGCATAAAAGAACAGGTATTAAGGAGCTAGAAGTGTGAAAGGTGAAAAAGAGCCAGGTCATAAAAGCAAGGAGTTAGAAAAAAAAAATGGAACAAAGAGAATGGAAAAAGGAGCAAAATTATCTTATTCAGAGGGCCACTAAACTAACCCAGACTTTACCCTTGATGGTATACATTCCAAGGCCTTGAGGAAAGAGGATTGAGGTAGCAGTGGGACTAGTTAAGCATTCTCAAGTAATATCCCTAGGGGCATTCATGAACTAGGAGCTGACTTTTTTTTTTTATAATAAAATACGTCTCCAGAATAGTGGTTCTTGACTTGTCATGGGTCATGGACCTCTCTGATAATTGCGGGGGTCCGGGGGAGGGGGAAGAAAAAGGAAAATGGTTACATATACAGTTCTATATAAGATTTCAAGGAGTTCAAGGACCAGCCCCCTTGCTTGATCTCACTCTGTGGACTAAGACCCTTGGATTTAGGTGAACACCTGCAGAGGAGTTTCTGAGCCAGGAGGTCTGGAATGGGGTTCCAAACAGATATTTAACGATACTTCCCTTAGAAATCTTAGCACTATTTCCTTGACTCCTTTCTTTGCCGCTAGCCTCACATCCAGTAGGTCAGCAAATCTAGTCTGTTTTGTATTTTAAACAGATGTGCTACATTTCACCACCTCCAGTGTTACCTCCATATCTCAAGTTACTGTCTCTCACCTGGATTGTGGCAGCGTCCTCTTGCTTTCCCTGTTTCTACCCTTCTCTCACATCCCCTACTCCCCACAACAGCCAGAGTGGCCTATATTTAAGTCACTCTGTTCTGTTCATGTCATGTATTCAAAAGCCTTCAGTGGCTTTCCATCTCACTCAAAATACCAACGTATAGAACCTGCAAGATTCTATACATTGGGGCCCTGGCTATCTCTCTGACCTGATTTCCTCTCATTTGTCCTCATTCCAGCCACACTGGCCTTGTTATTTCACCAACATGTCAGGCCAGAAACTCTCTTTTCTCAGAGCCTTTGTATTTGCTTTCTCCAAACACTCTTGCGTCAATATCAATATGGCTTGTTTCCTTATTTTCTTGAGGCCTTTGGTCAGATGTCACCTCTTCTGAGAGGTCTGTCATGACCACCTGTTAAATAATAGCACTCCTACTTCACGCACCATCACTATCCACTTGACCTTGCTTTTTACTGCTTCAGAGCACTTATCACCACCTGATTCATCATCTATTTCTTTTTGTCTATCTTCTCCCACTAGAATGAAAGCAAAGACTTTCTTTTGTAAACTGCAATCTGCAGCACTAAAAGAGCCTGTCACACAATAGATACTTCAGATATATTTGTCAGATAAATGATAGATGACATACTAGAATACATCCTGAAAAAGGCAGCCAAGGTGGTTAAGAGTCTTAAAATCAGATAAGGTTAAGTTAAACGAGCTGGGAATGTTTTGCTCAGAGGAAAAGAGATAACCATTTTTTTTTAGGAATTCCTGCATTAATGACAGGTAAATGACCCCAAAATTGTATGATTCTTTGAAGGTGTACCTCTCAGATGGAAGCTTTGTGGGTAGCGCTGTGTGATACTGAGCACCCAACCCAGTAAGAGTTGATATGATCAAATAACTACAGGGTACTCTCATCCCCCAAAAATTGACAGGACTTGTCAATACCGGGTTACATCTATATTTTTCTAGCTTCGAATGTTATATCTCAGCTCCTGTTGGGCATTGTAGTCTGAGGGAACTGCCTGATGGCAAGCTCTGGATTAGACTATGTGCACTTGCCAAGGTGGAAATCCCCATACTCACCACCTGAACATTTGCAAAGGTAAAATCTTACTGTGGCCTTTTTTTGCTCTTTAAAGTTCATGGGTACTACTTTTCTGTGGAACAGATACAAGCAGAAGAAGGAGGTGGAGCATAGGTTGTCTGCACTGAAATCTGCTGTGGAAAGTGGTCAAGCAGATGATGAGCATGTTCGTGAATATTACCTCCTTCACCTTCGGAGGTGGATCGGAATCAGCTTAGAAGAGATTGAGAGCATTGACCAGGAAATAAAGATCCTGAGAGAAAAAGACTCTTCAAGAGAGGTAAGCCTGGCCATTGTCCATATGGCTCCAAAAGCTGCCATCGGAGATTTGAATATTCAAGCCGGTGCCAGTGGCTCACACGTGTAATCCTAGCTACTCAGGAGGCAGAGATCAGGAGGATCACGGTTTAAAGCCAGCCTAGGCAAATAGTTCAGGAGACTCTCAAAAAAAAAAAAAAAAAAAAAAAAAAAACCCATCGCAAAAAAGGGCTGATGGAGTGGCTCAAGGTGTAAGCCCTGAGTTCAAACTCCAGTACCACAAAAAAAAGAAAATTCAAATATTCTGCAGGAGAGTGATCAAATTAAAATCCTTGTAAGTCTCCATAAAGTCATTGTTCTCATTAGGATGAGTGGAGAAAGTTCACTAGGGTGGCTTTCTCTTTAGCTTATTGCAGCATTTCCCCCATGCTTTCTAATCTGTAACACACTTCTGGTTGTGATTTTGTGATATATCCTGGAAGACAGAGACTTCTCTGAAGTTAAAATTGGTTTTGGCTATGGGAAGTTGCGGGTGCTAGGCTTAGGGAAGGAGGGAGGCCTTTAAAATTGGCTTGATTACAATAAAGGGAAAGGAGTGGGATGAGAATGGATGAGAAAAATGGAACTGGAGAGGGGAGAGAGAAAACAGTAAAACAAGGCCAAGGAAACAAAAGACCAGGGAATGTGTTTAGGTTGGGGGAGGAATTAGAATTTAACTTTACACAGCAGTACACTCTCATACCTTTCGATCACCTGTGTGGGAGGCCCCACAGCAGGGTCATCTCCATGCACAGAATGCCTCGAATACTGGAAAAGAAAGCCTGATAGAACACAGCTTTGGCTGTCTTTGAAGATCATAACCCTGTTTTAGAGCTTTTTCAAAAGAATAAGCTTTGCTGCCACTTGCTGTTTGATACAGGCTATGACATGAATCAAGTTGAATATATCAGCTGGTCACAGGCATTTATTTAAGTCCTCAGAGAAACCGTCTTTTAATTCGATTTGTACTAATTAGCCCAGAAGCTCTTACCTAAGGATAACATCAACATAGTTCTTCATGTTAAAAGGATCAAAGAATGAAAGGTTAGATTCTAAGGCTATAAGGCTCCTTGAACATATCTAGATGAGTGGTTTTCCAGCATTTTGAGGCTAGGCCCTTCTGGGTCCTGCCCTATCCACCTCACCCCCACTCCCACCCCTACCCCCACCCTCCTGGTACTGGGATTTGAGGTAAGGCCTTGTGCTTGCTAGGCGGGCGCTTTACTACTTGAGCCACATCCCCAGCCAAGTTTAATTTATTTTACCTATCCCTTCTTTAGGGTGTGTGTGTATGTGTGGTACTGGGGCTTAAACTCAGGGCCTACACCTTGAGCCACTCCACTAGCCCTTTTTTTGTGATAGGTATTTTCAAGATAGGGTCTCACAAACTATTTGCCCAGGCTGGCTTCGAACCAAGATCCTCCTGATCTTTGCCACTATGATTACAGGTGTGAGCCACCAGCACCTGGCTCTTTGGTGGTTTTTAAAAATGATCTCTAACATGGTATTGAGCTGGGCTGTAGAAGTATTGGAGCTAGAACCAAGTGAGTACCTTTTCTTTAACCATACTTTTGTTTGTTTGTTATTTGCTAGGAATGGATTTGAATTCAGGGCTTTGTGCTTGCAAAACAGCACTTGAGCCACACCTCCAGTCCACTTCAGCCATACTTTGTTTCAGCATGCCCCTAGAAAGTCATGGTTCCTTAACATTTCTGTATGCCTTTATATGAAAACCACTAGCATGCCCTTCTCCTGGTATCTAGGACTATCCATTGCTAAAACACTCTCTGGGTTCTTGACAATAGCATAATTACATTGGAAAGGATTTTAGAATAAGGGTCTTAATAATTCCACTTTTCATCCAAAGGCCAGGCTGAAAAAGGGCTTCAAATTCAGCTGAAGAAATCATGGATCATGGAAGTGGGGAGTAGAATCTCATTTTTTGAAGGGGCTACTTTAAAGCCAAGTAATTTTTTCCTGTGGTAAAAGATTCCTGAAGCACTTTCTTTCTCTCTTTTAGCAAGGTATCACTAGACTCCTCAAGAAAACTATGTCTTAAAGACTGATAAATAGAAAGAGAATGAATTTTTAATCCAGAGATTTTCTAGCACCAGAAGACTCGAGAGCCTGTGTGGCAGGGTGGGTAAAATGGCAAATGAACCTCTGAAATTACATTCTTTTTTTTTTAAGGCATCAACTTCTCACCCATCTCTTCATGAGAAGCCACCAATGAAACCCTTCATACTCACTCGGAACAAGGCCCAAGCCAAGTAAGTATTACTAGAAAAGTGGTTTGCCTTTGCAGCCCCTGTTTTTATGGTTCCATGGCATTGCATAGGTAGCACAGAATGGGCATTTTTACAAAGACATGACTTCACTTATGAAGGCTGTCCTTCCATCAAAGGGGTTTAGTTCTCCTGATGCTTTATCGATGTCTCTCCTTCTCAGACATTTCCTTCACATTAAGCTTAAAAACAAAGAAACAAATAAAATAGGAAGAGAAAGAAAGAATCTAATGAAGAATTGAATACTTTAAAACTTTTCTCCCTGATGGTCACTCTTCTTTCTCCAGCTTCAGTTCTCAAAATGACGTACTTATTTATGATTTAATTTTGAGTACATAGGGTGTCCAGAGAGTCTGCTCTGTACCTTTCAGAGCCACCAACTATGAATGCCCACACAACATTGTCACCACTGCTTTGGGGGGCACTGGCTTTGGTATTGCGTTTAAACATGATCCTGGGCTATTTATCTTCTCATGAAAGTCTTGACTTTATGCTCCTTCCTAGATGTCTGCTTTTATTCATCTTCACAGAATTTGCACAACTCTGCAGAAGTGGGTAGGGAATGAGCTGAAACATACAGGCCTCAGCATAAAAGTGAAGAAGTCTGTGACTATTTTTGTTTCGTTTTCTAAATGCAATGTGATTTTTCCAGAGTATTTGGAGCTGGTTATCCAAGTCTGGCAACTATGACAGTGAGTGACTGGTATGAGCAGCATCGGAAATACGGAGCATTACCTGATCAGGGAATTGCCAAGCCATTGTCAGGTATGAGAGGAAAATAGTTGTACTAATTGTTTCTTACTCTTTTGTGATAAAATTCTTCCTTTTGGGGGGCGGGGGCAGTACTAGGGTTTAAACTTGGCTTTGCGCTTGCTACACAATTAAATTCTGACCAAATATTATTGCCCTTTAGGAACAGAAGTAGTCTGGGCAAAGATTCTAAGTAACAGATTCTAGGCATGACTGGGAGTGTGGCTCAAGTGGTAGAGTGCCTGCCTAGCAAGCATGAGGCCCTAAGTTCAAACCCCAGTTCCACAAAATAAAAACAGAAAAAGAAGAAAGATTCTAGGCCAAAAAAATTTCTAGGCAACATTATTTTTTATCATTAAAATAAATAGCAGATGATATTGGGAGAAAGGGGATAGTAGCAACATAGTTTTTGAATCCGAATATGACATAAAAACAGCAGCCAGGTAACAAAACCAAAAATCCACGGACAGCAGTTCCACTTCTCGTAATTGTAGAGATTGTAACAGGTCAAGTCTTCATACAGATAACAATTACAAAGTGAACAATATATATCTACCTACCCAAAAGCACTAGAGAGCGACCAAAAGCAGGCATTTAGGATAGATTTGTATTGGAATTCTTAAGATCAGGTACTTTGACTTACTGTATTCTTGGTGCCTGACTCGGTTAATTGGATGATAGTAGATACTCAGATGTGTCATTGGAAGGGAAAGATGGAGAGGGTGGACATCAGAAAGAGGAAAGAAATATGGTATAACAGAAAAAGCATGAATAGGCTGGGGTGATCAGTCTACCTCCTGCACTTAACAGATGGAACATCATCTAGCCCAGCCTCTCTGAGCCTCAGTTTTTCTTATCTCATTTGACTCTCTTAATAACCCCATGAAGGTGACATTCTTATTCTCCTTTAAGGTGAGGATGTAGTCTCTGAAAATGGACTTACCATACTATAGTTTAGTCGGTAGCCTGGCTGGGATTTAAATTCAAGCCCTTCAGATTCCCAGTTCCAGTGCTGTTTTCAATTGCACAGAAAAGAGAAGAGAGGATATTTGGAAAGGTGTCCTTTTTTTGTTTGTTTAATAGCTTTTTACATGTGGGCTGGCTGTAGTTTCTGTGATTCGGAATAGCTAAACTTGGATAGAAACTGACAATCTTACTGGTTGAGGGATGAGAGAACTGACTTCAGGGTGACCATAGCAACTGAAAAGTGAAGGAGAATATCCCAGAAAGTAGGAACTACCCGGGAGGAGCCCTATTTCTATATATAAACCTGCTAAAATCTGGCTGACTCCTAAGCTCTTTGTGTAACCAAATGGAGTCCAGGTACCCTAAGTAAGGCTAAAATTACTGAATGGAGAATCCAACTGTGTCTCAATACAAAGGAGATAGCATTTGGCTTTTTGCCTCTAGACAATTTAATCACTTTTTAAAATGAGAAATCAGTACTCTTTAGAGGAAAGAAACAATTCACAAATCTCCACAATACAAATGCTCCTCGACTAAGGACAGGGTTACATCCAGTAAACCATCATAAATTTAAAACATCCTAAGTCAAAAGTTCACTTAATACAACTAACCTGCCAAGCATCACAGCTTAGCAAACACAGCACACTGTAGAGGATGGGTTGTTTACCCTCATGATTGTGTGGCTGTCATTAGACACCATTAAGAGAATCATACTATATATTGCTAGCCTGGATGAAGATTGAAATTTAAATTCAAATACAATTTTTCTAAATGTGTATGTATCACTTTTCACTTTTTTTTTTTTCAAAAGTCGTAAGTCAAACTATCATAAGTCAGGACCACCTATATACTATTCTTAATGTCTAGAATTCGTCCTAAGCCAGTACACTGGAGAAAAATCCAGGAAATGTGACTCATATTCCAGAGGTAAGTAATCCACTCAAAGTAACTCAGTGCTGGAATTAGAGACAAGGACTATAAAATAACTATTGTTTCATGCTCAAGAACCAGAAGGATATGCTTATATAAAAGATAAGAATCTCCAGAGAGAAATAAACTATATACAAATACAATATCTTAATTTAAATTATGATTGAACTAATAGCAGCTTGCAATGACAGAGAAAGTTCAGTTAACTTGAAGATCAATAAAATTAGCTCCTCAGGAAGATTAGAAAAATTAAATGCACCTCGTGACTTGGGAAACATATAAAAGATCTACTCTACATAAATATAGAATCCCAGGGAGAGGAGAAAGAGGGAAAAGAGGCAGAAAAATATTTGAGGAAATTAAATAGTGGCTGAAATTACCCCATATGTATGAAACACATTTACAGATTCTGAAATCTCGGCACTGGGGAATAGCTCGGTGGTATTGGCTTGCCTGGCATGCATAAGCCCTGCAGTTCCATCCTCAACCTGCAAAAAAGAAGAAAGAAATCTTAGTGAGCCCCGGCAGGTTAAATGCAAAGAAACTACACATAGGCAATTGTGGTCAAACTGCTGAAAACTGAGAAGAGAAAATTTGCAGGCAGACAGATGAAAACTTACATTCTCTGTAGAGAACAGTGATATGAACTGTTGACTTAGAAACAGTGGAATCTAAAATAGTGGGCACCTTAATGTGCTGAGGGCTGGGAACTGTCAACCCATGATTTTATATCCAGTGAAATATCCATAAAATGAAGGTGAAATTAGGACACTAAAACTGAAATAATTCTTCACAGAAACTGACATTGAAAAATGCCAAAGGAAGTTTTTAGGCTAATGGACTAATACCAGATAGAAACTTGATATTCAAGCAGAAGTGAAAAACAGTAGAAATGGGAATTATACAGCACTATCCTCCTACAACACCTGATTTTTAAAAACTATGAGTTTTTACGTGGGTTCTAATGTATAGATACTTACATATGGCCGCATAACAAAAGGAAATAGAATATTTGTGAGATTCTTTGTTATATGAAGTAGTACATGCTAACTATTGCTGTATAACAAATTACTCTAAGACTTAGCCAGTTTAAAGTTAATAAGCATTTGGGCCGGGGCATGGCTTGTGGTAGAGTGCCTGCTAGCAAGTGGAAAACCCTGACTTCAAACCCCAATACAAAAGTAAAATTTATATGCATTTATTGTGTACATAGTTGTTTTTTAAGTTCTGGGGATTGATGTATGCTAGATAAAGTAGTCTACGACTGGTACATCCCCACCCTTGGTTTTTGAGACGAGTCTCACTATGTAGCCCAGGCTGACCTTGAAACTCTTGATCCTCCTGCTTCCACCTCCTGAGTGCTGGATTACAGCATGTACCACCACACCCAGCACCCACAAGTTCCTAAGGGTGAAGATTCCAGTAACAACTGGGTGGTTCTGGCTAAGGTCTCTCATAGTTGTTCTCGCTGGAAACTGCAGTCTTCTGGAAGCTTGACTGGGGTGGAGGATCTGCTGCTAAG